TAAGAAAATTGCCGATTCTCGCCGGGGATGGCGGCATGGCGCCGTGTGGCGGTTGGGAGCCGTACGCCTAAGGCCCTAAGCTATGCCGGGAAGTCATTGTAGGCCCATAACAGCAAGTGCTTACCCCGGCACTTTTGAAACTGCGCGCGTTACAGGAATGATACTCTCACTTTGATTAATTTTATAGCCACGTCGGACACTGTAAATTCGTGATTCTCGCCGAGCTTGCAGACTGGCTGTGTGCCATTTTGACGTAACAAACAGGGATGTTATATAATTTATACATAAATTTTTCGAATTTTTTGAATAACTCCCGAACCGGATGTTGCGCGCACAAACGGTTTTCACGCCAGCGTATACAAATCTTCTGGCTACAGAATATTATAAACCGAAACACAAAAGTGTTTGGGAGTGCGCGAAAGTGTAAGTTTTCGTGCATGTACACGAATTTTGTACCATTGTAGTGACGGCCATGTAACGGCCCAACTCCCCTTAAGTGTTCACAATGCAGTAGCCGTCGCAGCTACCGAACACCGATGAATCTCATCCTCATGGTCAGGTCACAGGTGTGTGGCCCGCACCACCACTGCTGACGTCGACGAATTGCAAATTTAAAAAAAAAGTTTTCTGGAAAAAAGTGAGCATATTCGTTCATAAAAAATTAAAGAATTTGCTTAATTCATAAAAAAAACGTTGAAAGCACCCAGTTAAAAAACTGGCCGGAAGTGCGCTTTCGTAAAGTGGCGTAAAGTAGTGCACACTAGTCCCAGTCCCAAATGGTCACAGTCCCAATCGCTCCCAGGCCCAGTCCGGCACAGTCACAGACGGTCACAGTCACAGAAGGTCCCAGTCACATAAACTCCCACTCCCACCCAGTCCCACCCAGTCACACTCACAGACTTTAGCAATACCCCTAAATATACCGGGTGGCCTAACAAAATGGCCGTTTGATTTATCAAGGTGCGCTGGATCATTTTATTGTCTGGCTGGCATTGTGTTGGTTTCATTTGAGAGATTAATCTTTAGAACGTACAAAATTTATGTTAAATAATTGACCTTATGTCAAGGTCCACTGTTTTGGAAAACTAGGGGGAGTTTCAGGATGTCCCGGAAAAAATTCGAGTTTTTTTATTTCTGAAATAAAAATTTGTTGTTATTTACAGACTCTTATTGTTGTCTCACCCTCTCTGCAGCTTTGTACGTTGCTGTGTGTCACATTACAATTTTTGGACAACAGGTTATTTCTTGGTTTTTTACTGCTGAGAGTAGTAACTTTCTTATGACCGTGTTCGGCCATGAAACGAGAGAGCTCCGGTTACGCAAATGAAATGTTCGTGAAAATGGCATGTTGATTTTGAAAATTAATTCCTTATTAGCGCTTGGAGTGTTTTTATAGATCAAACCCGTTTCTCTAAGAACAATGTCTTAGCTACCTTTATCAGCTAAACCAACATTGTTTGTTGCGCTCTGTCGTGCTGCAAAAAAATTATAGCAAAAATATACGAGTACAGAAAATCAGGAGATAAACTTGCAACCTTTTCGAAAAGTACCGAAATGCTCTAACTGTCTAGCTCATCCGGCGCAAGCACTACGTCAACAATTTTTTTTGAATGAAACTGATTCCATTCTTTTGATAAAACAGTTGGAAATATTTAGAAAGCTCGTATGATCAGATGTCGTAAGATTCTGAATTTCTGCGAGCTGGGACACGATAAATTTTTACACAATTTTATTTGGTCACCTTATTTTATTTTTACACAATTTTATTTGGTTATCAGATTTTTTAAGCTGTGAACCTCGTATTTTTCTTTAATCTGCTAAAAAAATTGTATACTGGCGCAACGGGCGCAGGCTTCGAAGTTTACGGGCATAGTGGGCGCAGACCGATCTTCGAAACGGGCGAAACTGGCGCAGGCAAATTGCGCCTCCCCCATCGCGCGGACCTCACTACGGCCCTGGGTGTATCTATGACTAAACCGAGTTAGAGTTTAGACCGTGACAAACACGAATTTCGTGCACTTTCTTATTCTTTTATTATAAAGGATAGATAGATTACGACCAACCGTAAGTACTTACTGATTACTGTACTGTATAATACGTTATACGTAATAATTAAAAGTGTTGTATGTAAGAATCCCAGACTGGAAATCGGTGTTTCGCAATTTCTATTGGTTGTAATTTTGAGCGATCGTGGCCAATATCTAACGCGTGCCTGTGCTCTGATCCAATCCTGCTGGAGGGTTGGGATCTGAGTTATTCACTTAATTCGGTTCATTTTACGCACTTTGCGTCTCGCGCTAAGTAGCAGTGTTTACAGCTGTACACGTCTCGACATATTGGAATTTGTGGTTTCTTAGTGTTTTGCATTCGGTTTTCGCACTCAGATAATCAATGTTTTAAAAAAGTCATCCAAATTATCACAATGTTCCTTTTTTGATAAAATTTATGTTTACATCCACTGATATCCGAAAGGTTCCAATTTTTTTGTCAGCTGAAACTTTTGACAGAACTAAGATGAACACTCGGGTTAAGACTGCGCTCAAAACTAAGATCAATACTTCTGATAATACTCTGCTTAAAACTAACATTTATACTCAGGTTTTCAAACCTAAGAAAGCTTAGTATTTGCGAACTCTGATTACTGCTACCAAAAACTTAAAAGTCCCTCCGTCCACAAAATACTTCAAACCTATTTAAATTAAATTAAACCTAAATAAATTAAACCTAATTAAATTTATTATTATGTTCACTAGTGAAATGTATTCAGTCAGAAATGCACTATAACAGAAGTGATGCACTATAAAAGAACTAATTCTAATTCAAAAATTTAAAGAAAATTTAATGGTATAATAAATTTAATTTTATAGTAGCCGATTTTTGACAAACCAAAAGAATACTAGAAACTGAAAATGACGTAATTGCAAAAAATATACGACATTATTAATGATGAGGATTTAAAGCCTGAGAGTTTTTGAATTGCTTGCACATTTAATTTTGCGCCGCCATTTCTCACAACAATTTTTCATCCTGTACGTCTGTTAAATCTGCTGTCTTGAAATAATAGATATGCGTACACCTAACAGTTATATTTCAATCGAGAAAAATTACTAGAGAAAAAAAGCTGAGAATAAAAAGTTATCTTAACATACCATTTCTTTGGTTAAATATTTCGAAACAAATATATTTTTTTTTCCTTTAAGCTGATTTTGGAAATAAAAAATAGGCTACCGCTACGCTACTTTTTACTTCCACTGCCGAAGTGGCAGAGCGTTCCAAATCTAATGGAAATTGTTTCAAAATTGTTTTAAAACGCATTATAGGCATTTCATGCAATTATTCCGTTGGCTTGAAACTTTTGCCAACACTACTATGAGCACTCGGGTTTAGACTATGCTTTGAACTAGTATCACCACTCAAGTTTATACGTTGATTAAGACTAGCATTAGTACTCGGACTAACACTCTTGTGAAAGCTAACACTAACATCTTTATTTTCACACCACGTATCATTTAATAATTCAGGAATCGTTAATGTTGCGCTCCACATAACTATTTTTGCAAAATGCTTATGAAAAACAATTTTACGCTGAAACATTGGCGTGAGAAAAATTTGGCACAAAAACATTTCGCTGATTCGCCACACAGACATTCGGCATGCTACTGTCTTTTTTGTGTACGCTCTAGTATATAATCTCATTAGAATGTTATTTTAAGTTTTTTTTTTATGTTTTAGTTGTTTTTGTGAACATTTCTTTTGTTTTCTTAATATATTTTCGTGGTGCTCATAAAATTATTAGCCTTTTTTAGCTGGCTTTGGTTTTTTTAATCCAGTATGTGTTTTAACTTTTCAAGTTTTATTAAAATTTGGATTTTAAGCCAAATTGTGCTATGCTAAAATTGCTATATGCGAAAGCGTTTTATGCCCCCGTGTTTTTATTCCGAAATGTACGTATATCATGCGGCTTTCCCTGCGTAGATATTACTAAAAGCATTTTCAACGAAAAGGTTGAGTTCAATATTTTTATTAAAAAAATAACGAAGATAAAGCAGAAATGAAGACATTTTCGATGCGAACGTTTATTTGGGTGATAGTTCCGAGAAGATTTGCGGAAAAAATCGAGTGAGTTTGCCAAACGGGGGTAAGCTGAAACCGAACAAAAGGGTTGGTAAATCTGAGTGTTTGCTGACCGTATTTTAACCAGAGTCTTCACCAGAGTGCTGTTCTTAGTTTATAGCCAAGTATAAACCTTAGTGATCATGTTAGCCCAAATCTAAGTCTTAACCCGAGTGCACACATTAGTATCGTCAAAAGTTTTAGTTAACTGGAGGTTGTAAGTTAGATTTGGGTTTTCAAGCTCATTTTATTTCTGACTTTCTTATTTTGTGCGGGCGCGATTTGCAATGTCCGTTTAATTGGTTTGAAAAGAACCGTCAGGGATAAGTTTTGTTCGCGTAGCCTAACTTTTATAAATACTGTGCGCTGATACATCGTACGCCTGGTTGCCTTGTATAAACTGTTTTGTAGTAAAATATTATAGCACAGTAATGGTAAAATAAACATTCAATAAACATTTATATGAAGTAGTGCAACAGTAAATGCAAATTTGTGGATCAGTGTATAAGTTGCGCTGTACACATCAAGGTTCCTCACACTTGGATAAGAACTAATCTGAAAATGCTCATTTACAATTATAATTCAAAAATTTGATTAGGTAGTCGGCGATGACTTTTATTTGTTGAGATCCGAAATAAAAAACTTTGATTTTACCTTGTTTGATCGCTAACTTAGACTCGGCACAGCCACAATTTCCAATGGATTTCATGCGAGAGTGGACGTGTAATTGCTGTACTGAGCACGAGACGCAAAGTGCACAGAATGAACCGAATTAGGTGAATAACTCAGATCCCAACCCTCCAGAAGGATTGGATCAGAGCACAGACACGCGTCCAATATCTATATGAGTAAGTACACGTCGCTGACGCGCGCTTGTTTCCACGCGTTCCTTTAACCGTTAACAGGGCACGAAGTGGGGCACAACGCGTTTGTTTGAAGCGTGGTTGTGCGTTAAATTTTGACAAATCCATGGTTTTCTGCAGTGTGCAACTACTGAAGCGACAAACATTTTCCCTTTGATCAGTTTATTCACGCTTCTGATAGCATAATTTTAATAATAGTATCTACGTAATATTTTATCTATATTTCATCCATCTTGGTAGTATCTGTTGTTAACTTATTTCTATGGGCGAAAAAATGGATAACACTATCCCGAGCGTTGTGGTGAGTTGGGGGTTGGTGACTGACTGGCTGTCAATGTCGTGCCATAATTATGTATTATTTATTATTAACTGTTATTATTATTATATTAAAACTAGCAGACCCCGCGCAAATTGCGCGGAACAAATAAGAGAAGAATAATTTAGGGCAAAAAATAATAGTTATTTAATTTTTATAAATCTAAAAGTCAACAATGACCGTTTTAAAAATTGATGATAGTATGCTGTCACTACTGGTTCTTTTTTCAACCCGCCGACTGCTGGGAAAACCTTGGATATGAATTTTTTCAAGTTTTCTTCCCGGAAACGGGACCGGCTTTCCGTTCAGTTCCAGAACGAATCCTTCACACCATAACTGTAAATCACAATCACTCAAAATTTTCGCCCAATTGTAAAATAGTAGCTGTTTAATTTAAGTAAAATTTATGTTCCCCGCTCATTTCTACGATGGCGCTGTATCAGATTTCACTGTAGCGTTAGCCCTGCAGTCCGGAAATATTATATTAAGGCAGGTTTGCCTCGTCTGCTGGTCCGCGACTATTGGTAAATTACTTTTTTCAAAAAACAAATAGTCATTTCAAGCTACTGTAATATTTTGGTCATCGCTCGTTATGCCAGAAATGTAAAGCAGCTTGCCTCGCTTGCTGCTCCGCGAGCTCCGCTCGCACCGCAGCTAGGCGTCGCCTGCGGCTCCGTCTTCTATAAAAAACTGACGAATTTTTTATCGGGTTTCGCAAAATTTCTCGTTCTCAACACTCACGTTCTCAACAACCATTTTGGATGACGCGCCTAATGATCGGTCAAATAGAAAGACTAATTATCTAGGTCTGCTGCAGTTAATGCACATTACCTAACTGAAGCGCATGTGGGATATGCAGCTGCCGGCTTGCTGTCCCTAAACCATAAAGTACTAAACATGCAATTTAACACCACCACTAAACATGCAGTACCATCTATCTCGGATTTTATTTTCGACAGTCGACAGATAACAAATTAACTCGCAACATGCGAGTCGCAATTCGTCGCAAGTTTTTGTCTTCAGCGGCATATCAGTACCAATGGCAACCGCCCGTGGAAACGTTGCAACTTTAAATTGGTCAAACCCTGCGAACGACAGCTTCTTGAGAAACAGTTTTAAGCACTTCCCTACACGCAGAGTTTGTTAGGTCTTCAGTCTTTCTTTGCTGAAACTTACTTTTTCTGAAGCCATTTGTTGATGAAAACTTTATAATTTCACTCAAGAACCAAGACTACCGAATAGTACGTGGGTATGACTCGAGAACTCTCCCAGTGCCAGCAAAGCTGGCCAAAACGCGTTTTTAGCTGTCCGAGACAGTAGTGAGGTGGCCAGTTTTGCAATGGTGGATTCTCACCTTTTCCCATTGGCCTTCTATGTTAAAGGTTTTTGAAGTTTTCCTTTAACTGTTTGTTTTCCTCTAAAAACGGAGTAGCGATGGCAAATCTACCCACTAAGGGCTATCGAATGATATATAGACCTAGAAGTTTGATTCGGTGGATCGAGCTGACGAACTCGACAGAGTGGGGATTTCGTTAAGGCTTACGCGATTATTATATAGTGATGATTAATAAAATCAACGAGGTTTTTTTTCTAGTTTAATTGCCTGTGAATGTCGTAATGTATTCGTAAGCCAATACTTATCCGTGCTTATCTTGTATTAAATGTATTTGGATGAAATGTTTTGTGTGATTAGGGCTTAGGCCGCCTATTTCCGTAATCGGCCGAGTCTGTGTAATCAGTATCTGTACAAATGTCGTTTACTTTATAGCAAACTTGTGATTGTATTTTATCGCTAATCTCAATAAATAATCTTGTATATTTATATGTACGAAGTATGCAGACTTCGCTTTGACCATTATTTCGAACACTTACCGTTACCGTTGAGGTACAATCTTACCGTTCAACGTGACTAACTTTATTTTTTATGGCCTCGTCCACGCGTGATCAGTTTTAGTCCAGCTTAATCTTTAATATTCATATTTTCCATGAGTTCGCACCCCGATTTACGTATGTTTTGTTTAAAATATCCTGTTTAGAGGCCTGTTTAGTATCCTGTTTACAGGCCTGCGCAATGTAGGTAAGTAATACAACTGCTTGAGCTAATCCGAAGATAGCATAGACTAGACGTCTACGGAAAAATTTAGTTATGGCCGAACCTTTTGGTCTAAACTTGGGAGTTTGAATATAGGAAAACTTGGGAAAAAAGTGTTAAATTTCGTTTCCCATATAAAATTTACCAAATTCCGGACTGACGCATTTGGCGCCACACTTCGACCTCGCGGAGAACAATAGCGCCCCCACCCCCTCTCCCGAAAAGTCTGTACTTGTTGTAATACTGTAAGTCTGTATGTAACAGTGATGTCCCGTTTTTTTCACGGGCTCGGTAAATCACGGGAATTTCCCGCATCCCGCACCCGCTTTTGCTCGGAAAGCGGTGCGGGAGGCTTTCTGCTCGGATCGGGTGCGGTCGGGAATATAGCCTGATTAGTACGCCCGCCCGCTACTCGGGAAAACACGGGATTTCTTTGAATTAAAAAATTTTTTATAGAATTTCTAGCAATTTTCGCAGCCAAAAAGTGCGTCAGCTTCGCGCTTCGCGCGAAAGTTGGTGTCTTAGGGTGGGTCTCTGATTCAAAGCGAATCCAGTTGCGATACAGCGATTTGATAAGCGGCGGCTAGCTCCGTAGCTCCTGTGACGCAAACGTCGGTTTCGAAAGAAAATATATTTACGGCAATTGTATAAGTTATAATTACGAGCCAAGTTCAGTTTTTTTGAAAAGTAAAAGTAAGATTTATCATGCAGGTCTAGTCTTCTAGAAAATGCGTATCCATTAAACTTTTCGACGAAACTTTGTCACAAAAATTTTGTAATAGATTTGTAACAATTATTAAAATTATTGATTCATTGAAAATCGGGAATCGGAGCGGGTTGCGGGACGGTCCGAGCGCTCGGGTGCGGGAGCGGGTGCGGGAAAGTTTTTGATCGTGAAAGTGCGGTCGGGACATGAAAAACTGCAAACGGGACATCACTGGTATGTAACCAATAGAATTATCACATATTACTAGGAGATCCCGCGCAAACTGCGCGGAATAAAAGATATGAATAAATCAATGCAAAAAACTAACTGTTTCAACTACTTCTAAAAGTATAGATAGTAGGAAATCATAGAATTATTATGTTACTGCTGTTATAATGTCACTGGAAAGCCAGGACAACCCTGGACAGGGCTTGTGAGCAAGTGAAAATTTTCAAATTTTCTTCCCGGAAATGAACCGGATTTCAGCTTACCGGTTAGCTCTACAGAACGAATCCTTCGCACCATAACAGTAAACAATTAAGTAACTCGTATCATTCAAAATTTCAAATTATCTGCCCAGTTGCAAAATAGTAGCTCTGTAATTTAGATACGGCTTAGTGGCTTACCTATCTGCTCATTTTTACCGTCGCGATTCGCGCGCTCAGCCGCGCTGTTTCGAATTTCAAAGTAAGTAAAGTAATGTAAAGTATGTAGGATGCCTCCTTTGCTGCTCCACGAGCTCCGCTCGCGCCGCAGCTCGGCGTCGCCTGCGGCTCCGCCTTCTATAAAAACTAACAAAATTATTTCAAGTTTCGTAAAACCTGTCGTTCTTAACAATGAAGCACTCCCTTGATGACGCGCATAACGACCGCTAAGCACTCCCTCAAATAAAAAACTTGTTCGCTATATAAGTAGCTTTGCTGCATTTAATACACATTAACTAAGCTCATGTGGGATATGAACATATGCAGGCAGGCTGCAGCTGCCAGCTTGCTGTCCCTAAACCATAAACATGCAATACCATCAACCCTAAACATCACTACATCAGTACCACCTTTTTCGGACATCGTTTTCCACAGAAAACAAATTAACAGTACTCGCAACCTGCGAGTCGCAAGTCATGATCTTAGTCATAACAAATTTTTGACTTCAACGGCAAATCAGTACGACAGTACCAATGACAACCGCCCGTGGAAACGTTGCAACTTTAAACTGGTCAAACCACTGCGAACGGCAGCTCCTTGACAAACAGTTTTGGGGCAGTTCCATACTCGCAGACTTTGCTAGGTCTTCACTTTTTCTGACACCCTTTGCATATGAGAAATTTTTCAAGAATCATGCAAGACTACGGAATAATACGTGGTCATGATTCAAGAACTTTTCTCCCATCCCAGCAAAGTTGGCAAAACGTTTTAGCGGTCGAGACAGTGGTGAGGTAGTCAGTTTTGCAGTGGTGGATTTTCGACTTTACCCATTGGCATTCTATGTTAAAGTTTTTCTAAATTCTCTTTCAAACTTTTCTTATTATCTAAAAACTGACTTGCGATGGCAAATCTACCAAGTAAGGGCTATCGAATGGTACGTAGACATGGAAGTTTGGTTCACTGGATCGGGCTGGCGAGCTCGACAGAGTGGGGATTTCGTTAAGGTTTACGCGATTATTATATAGTGAAGTGATGATAAGAACCGGAACAACACTTACAACAGTGATTATCACCCAGTGAATGCAATCAAATCAGTTAATCTAATAATAAAATGCAGGCGCGCTGGCGTGGGCACACTACTTCACAGTTGAAATGTCCACTTAAAAAAAACAACCAAAATCACTATCCACCCGCGGGTTAAAAGGTTAAGAAGGGACCGGGTGGCTGAACAAAATGGCCGTCTTCGTTTTTGGCTTGATTCTCGCGAACCGTTTACCCGATCGCAAACTGTTTAGACTCGTTCGATCGAGAATTTTGTTTGATACTAAAACATCAAAATTTGTTTTGGAAAATTGACACATGCTCGTTAACAAAGGGACTAAATAAAACTGCGTAAACTTTTTCGTGTTCCAGCTCGCAGAATGCAGAATCTTGCGGCATTTCCTTCCCATAAAAGCTTTTTAAATTTTTCCAACTGCTGTATCTAGAGAACGACATTGTTATTCATTCAAAAAAATTTTGTGACATGGTGCTTGCGCCGGATGAGCTATACAGTTAAAACGTTTCCGTATTTTTCGAAAAAGTTTCAAATTATTACCTGAATTTTTTTATATATTTTCCCTATAATTTTTTGCTGCATGACGGGGAGCAACAAAAAAAACAAAATTCAGCTGATAAAGATAGCTTAGACACTGCCCTTGCAAAAACGGGTTTGATCTAGAAAATTACTCCAAGCGTTAATAAAGAACTGATTTTCAAATTGTATACTCGCCCTTTCCACGAGAATTACATGTGCGTGGCCTGAGCTCTCCCGTTTCCTGGCCGAACACGGTCATACGAAAGTCACAGCTCTTACCAGTAAAAAACCGAGGAACAACCTCTCTTCCAAAAATTATAATGTGACACAACGCAATGCACTTCGATAAATAACTGCAATTTTTGTTTTAGAAATAGAGCAACTCGAATTTTCGTTTCGGGACATCCTCAGACTCCACCTAGTTTTCCAAAACAGTTTACTACAAAGTCAGACCTTGAAGCAAGGTCTGTTGAACATACAATGTTGGACTAAGGCCTCGTTCCGAATCCAAAGCGAATCGCGCTATCGTACGGTTGCTCAACCGCACGATGTGGTTGTATGCAGTGGCCACGCCTACAGATACGGTACCCCAAGCCACCTCGCGAGGTGGAGTTGCTGTATCGCAACGAGATTCGTTTTGAATTCGGGACGAGGCCTAAATGGGCGCATAGCCCCAAAGGCAGCACAAATTTAGTACCATGTACCGGGCCGGCAACAGCAGCCCAGCAAAGTTGGCTAAAACGCGTTCTGGCTGTAGAGACAGTGGTGGGATGGTCGGTTTTGCAGTGGTGGATTCTTAATTTTTGCCATTAGCTTTCTATGTTTGATTTTTGAGGTTTTCTTCAAACGTTTGCTATTTTCTTTTTAAAAAGGTAGTAGACTACCGTGGTATGTTTAAAAAATATTTTCATCTGCAAAGGGCACTTTGGCGTGGTCTCACATAAATTAAATCTGTACAGAGTGCACATACTGTTTATTAGATGTAACTATTATTAAATAATTGCATTTTATGCCGCAGTATTGTTTTTGGGAGCACTGCACGTCCCGTGGATCCTTCCACATGCCGAGCATCGAAGTGCGTGCTACAGCGCGCGTGCGTTGACCATCGCAGCAAAATTATTAAATTTCAGAAATTCAATAACTTCTCTAATTTTTAAGCTGCTTGTATGTCCATATGCTTACGAAATATTAGGAAGCTTTTAGGTAAGAGATTTCTAAAAAATGTATGATGTAGCCCCTGCCAGGTAAGATGGGACTACCGGAAGCGTTTTGGAAGTTATGTCGGTGCTTGACACCTGGAAGGGTCCGCGGCTGGTCCAGTAGCCGCAAAATTAATATAATAATATGGTAAATGCCCGTACTGCATAATAATAGTATGCAGTACTATGTACTCATTTAGTTTATGTTAGACCATGCGCACGCCCAATTGACCTCTGCAGATGATAATATTTTTTTAAACATACCATGGTAGCCTACTACCTTTTTACAAAAAATGAAATTTTTGTGATTTTGGAGGCGGAAATAGTGCCCTGGTTAGTCATTATGAGCGGAGTGAAAGAAAGCTATTGAAAAAATCATATTTGTTTCGTCACACCCAAATTTAACGCAATCGGCTTTTCATATAAAATTCGAAACCACGTTTCTTTTTGGTATTTCGTAACTTACCGGTTTTTTCTTACGGTCATTCAAAATTATCTTTCAAAATGTGATGTTTCTATTTATGAGTTTACACGAAAAATCCCATATTGGGAAGCATTTGCTACTTAAATTAAGCCCAAATGTTCTTTTTGCTTACTTATGACTTCTGATAAATTTATGAATACTTTTTTTGTTAGGCCCCCCTGGACGGGATGCCCCTATATCAGACGGTGTTGACGGATGCCAATCAAATTAGCTATCACAACACTGTTGTCGCCCGCAGCAGCGACGCTTGGTGGCTCGGAAATATCCAAGATATCGACGGCAACTACGCCTTCATCCACTTTAACTCGATAATAGTCCAAGCTCGATGGATGCACATGAAAGACGTTTGGCATTTGCCGTCATACTGGGACACAAAGCTCGCCAGAGAAAAAGGTTGGCACGGAGACATTCATGTATTTGCGGCACTGCGTGAGGAATATAATGGGCCGTTTTGTTTTCGACCAGCCGTCATGCTAAACATGCTTAATGGTTGTAACTCGGATTGCAAAATGTTTTGCATCAGAACTGATGTTTCCAAGACAGTCGTTCATCCACCCAGTACTGGTTTTGAGGTGGTCCACTTCCACCAAGTGGCCAGTGCGTTGCCACCAAGCGGACCCTCTTTGTTGGACCGCCGCAGCGGTTTCCTGTATGAAAAGCACTTCATCCCTTTTGTCCAGACTCAAGACGTTCTGCGCGATCCTTCCGATAAACTTCGCATAATCAAGCATATTAACGACGCCATTCAAGTCAGATTTAAATTAACCCGTGGAAATCCGGCTGATCGCTGCCATTTTCATCTTCGCTTCGATCAGGAGAGTTGCATACTCGTCATCGCCCGTCTCGCTACGGACACAAAACCGACACATTGGATGGTTGAAAGCCTGCCGGAAATCTTGGGAACACATCTGGGCAGCCGCGTTGATTTACCGCCTATCAACAATCGAGTATTTCTCGCGAACGAAGATATACCTAGCAAAATTGGTTAGTCGCTTATCGTAAATGTTGTCTTTGAGATGTGCTTCTTCAATAGTTACTACAAAATGCGAAGTACTGTAATTATAAATTTGGTACCCTTATCGGGGCTTAGGGCCGCGTATTAGGAAAACTGGGGACGCTGATTACTGACATTGGGTGCTGCGGTGGGAGGTCATCGCGACATCTTGTCGGGTACAACTGGTCGCAAGACGGTTGCACACATTTGGACACGTACATACTCTGTATCAATCTTGCCGCGAGACGTTTCGTCACGAGGTCGTTTCGACGGAGGAACATTTCATGTGTTAGACAAATGCTTATGAGTTATGTCATATGTCAGACATTTCATGTGTTAGACAACTGCTTATGCAAATCAAGAAACCAAATCAAAGAAAACCTAAGAAACGTTAGAATACATTAGAAAATATATGAAAGCCCAAGTGAATGTAAGAAAAATATAAAAGCATAAAAACGCACAAACTAAGAAACCGGGAGTCTCAAGGCAAAGTGACCGCGACCACACGACGTATGGCAAATTGTCGCAAAGAAGAAGAGTCACAAAGCTGAAAGCAGTATGTCCCTAACGAAAATGCCCCAGTCCCGCGACGAAATGTCTTCTCGGCAAGAAGGGCCCCTCGAGTTTGACTGCTGCGAAATGGTGGGAACGCAAAAGCTTATTATCATAGCTCCATAGGACTCACATAGCCTTGTTACCACCAGTACATTACTTGCTTTGCATGGCTGTTGTTTTCAATAGCCGATTTGCGATAAGCCGCCGATCAAGAGAGCAGGCGCACAACCCGCGCGCAGGGGCCATAAAAAGTAATTAAAAAGTAATTAAGACGCTGCTCTCTAAGACATGGCCTGCTCCCACAGGCACGGGCCCGACTCATAAAAGTGACTATGCGGAGTCCGGTAGTGGTCATGCGCATACGCGATGTAAAACAATGGAGAAGACACAGGTGGAGGGAGAAATTGGTCTGCCCTGTGTCTGCCCGTGGTCGGTCCATCGCGCGTGCAGTTTTTCGCAAGGCGAAAAAGGCAAGCATCCCTTTCAGACGCAGGACGCGGTGCCTCCAAGTCATGCTATCTATAGCATGGGTACTGGCCGCTTGCTTATCGCAAATATGTGATTAATGTTTTTTGCCACTCGCGAATGCTGCCACTCACGAATGCTGCCCACTCGCGAATGCTGCTCACTCGCGAATGCTGCTCTGAGCTGGCTGACCGAGTTGCTGTATAAAAATCCACCTTATACAGCGGTGACCTTTTAAATCTGGCGTTTTCTTTTTGAGAACTGCCGTACTCCATCTACCAAAATACGGAACCTTTATCTTAGTCACTAGCAACATCATCGGATTGATCTTTACCATGACTACTTCCACCCAAAGTCACTCCCCAATCCGGCAAGAAGATCGGCTAACGCAACATCTGCATGACGTGGTATTCGGTACCGTACGAACCGATTTAAAGAATATTATATCTGCTAATACTTCCCGTATGAAAATTTTACCTCCTAAATGGCATAAGTTACATCAGTCCGCACCGGTTCGTTTTCACTCTTTTTTGGGGGATTTTTGTAATCAACTTATTTCTGCTTGTGATCTCGGCTTATGGGCAGCTCATGAAATCATGGAATTATTTTCTTGGGGGCTAGCTGAATATGCTCTAACTGCGCTACATTGCAAACAATCTACCGGTAAATTTTTCAGTAAAAATTCGAAGTATGCAGTTCCGGCAAAATTAATCAGAGAAAGGCTAGCTGTTTCTACCGAAATTAATAAACTGAAACGGAAGAAGCGAAGAATGAAAGTCGTCGATCGTGATTTTTCCCTCTCTTATGCGGAACGGTTGCATCGCTTAAAATTAATTAGAAAAACTCTTTCCTCTAAAATTTCACAGCTGCGTTTCAATGCCGAGCGGAAAGAAAATGATAGCTGGTTCACAAAGCGTATGTTGAATTTTATTGATGTAAAGATAAAATCTTCTTCCTCGGCTCCTTCTAATGCTATGATTGAAAATGACCGATATCGAAAACTATTTTGAAAATATCTGCAACCCCCAGAATCTTTCTCCTCTTAATTTTTCATGGATAAATAAATTAAAGAATAAGACATGCAACACCGGCTTCAATAATACAGATATCTTGCCTGCCGATATAAAATCTATTCTCTTTCGTAAGGATGGTTCAGCAGGTTCCGGGTTGGACGGCATAAATTACTCTTTTCTTAAGCCATACCCGGATGTTCATAATTTCTTAGCTAATATGTTCAATAGACTTTTAGCATCTGGCACAACGTGCAGTTCATGGAAAGTGGGGAATACGGTTCTCTTGTACAAAAAGGGCGAATATGATATGCCGGGAAACTATCGACCTATTACTTTGACTAGCTGTATTGGAAAAGTTTTTCACTCTGTCATTTCTAATTGATTAATGTCGTACTGTGTTAAGAATAAACTGATTAGCACGGATGTGCAGAAGGGTTTCATTGAAGCTACTAACGGATGCGGGGAACATTCTATGAAACTGTTGAAGTTAATTGAGCAGCAGAGAGCGAAAAGACAGGCAATGCATGTGGCTTGGCTAGACGTCGCAAATGCATATCCTTCTGTTCAAAAGGAGGTCCTCCTGGCAGCTTTACGTCGATATAATATTCCTGAATACATTGTTAAATATATTGATAATTACTATACCGGCTTATCAATTAAAATTAACTATAATGATAAATTTTCGAAAAATATTCCGTTTAATGTAGGTTTGTTTCAGGGGGATACTATGAGCTGTGCATTGTTCCTTATTGTTTTTAATTGTATTCTTGAATTTTTAGAGGAAAATAAAAAATGCGGGATTGCGTTCGATGCTTTACCAGAATAGAAAATTGTTGATCTTGCATTTGCAGACGATTTGACCATTGTTACCAATAATAAGTCGAGTATGAGCCGGCTGCTTCGCGAAATCAACATCTGTATGAATTCGATTGGTCTTAATTTAAACGTTGAAAAATGCCGTTGCTATTCTTTTATCAGAGGAATTTCTTGTGAAACTACGTTTGAAATTAATGGGCAAAAGGTGACTAATATATCGAAAGATCCTATGAAGTTTCTCGGTGCCCATATTTGTGAAAAAACCAGTCGTCGTCGAGTGGCACTTTAATCAAATCTGCGTTTAATTCTTTAATTGAAAAAGTAGATCGGCTTAATCTCCGTGCCACTTATAAGGTCCGTATTTTTAATGACTATGTTGTTGCATGCATGCGCTTTGCCTTGACAATGCATGACCTTTCTCTTTCGACTGTGAATGAACTTGAAGCTATTGTTAATAAAAATTTCGAAAAGTGGCTAAATTTAAATGGGTCTGCTAATTGCGATACTCTCTACATTCCGGATGGGTTCGATTTTAAATCGATAAAATCAGTTTATGCACAAGGGCATGCCACATTCATGGCGGATGCATTTTCCTCGAACGACGTTGTTGTAGCGCAGGTAGCGAATGACAACCTGAATTCGGCTTGTGGAAATGATACCACAATTGTGGACATCGTTCAGACTTCGGTAGTAGCCGGGAGGGAGCGAAGAGCAAACAAGGCAGCCATCAGAAAGCTTGTTAGCAAGAGAGTCAAGCAGCACGTTTCGACTGCCGATTGTCTCTTGACACTTTCCTTTTTTCCCGAAATTTATTTTTATTCTCAAAGAAAATTTTCTCAAATAATTAACCTGTAAGTAGTCGTAGATAGGTAGCGGGTTTTTGGTTAGCCGGGGAGATTTCTTAATCTCGTTAATTTGTATTGTAACTACAAAGCAATACATAGCTATATAGTCATATAAATTGGATAAATAATTGGAAATGGCTATTCTCACCACCCTGGCACCTCCTTTGGCTATTCTCACGGCCTTTCACCACGTTTTGGCTATTCGCACCCTCTTTTTAAAAAAATTCTTGGCACCATCTTTGGCTATTCTCACCACCTTTTTACATCTCCTTTCGACTATTCCCACCTCCTTACATATATTATTAATATTATGTTTATAAATACTTTAAGGTGCTACGGAAATCTTTCCATTTCCTTAAAAATAATTGTAAAATCATATTTGTATAACGCTAATGCGTTTATGACCTTTAGAAGCCGGGACAAGTAAACCCGATAATATTTGCCGGTATTAATAAGTACTAGCAGCCGTAGCAGGTACAAAATCATGTCGCAGTCGCGATCGGATATCCTCCGATCACGAGGAAGATCTGGTCCAAACAAGCAGTGACGACTCGCTTTACGAACCTGAAGGCGCCGAACTGCCGGAATATTTCAGTTCATGGCAAGAATTCCGTAAAGAAAAAGGAACGTAAAGCAAAAGCGCCACTAACGGCAAAAACTTAGTGTGTAAAAAATGCAATAAAGAGGTGAGAATAGCCAAAAGAGGTGTGCAGATGCGGTGGCAATAGTCAAAAGGTGGTGTTAGAATTAATTCTTAAAAGGTGGTGCGAATAGCCAAAAGGTGGTGAAAGGTCGTGAGAATAGCCAAAAGGTGGTGCGAGGTGGTGGGAATAGCCACACCCTAAATAATTTGTAAGGCTAAATATAAAGAAAAAAACACATCTCGGCCTGTCCGCAGTTGCAAGTATAGGAGCCCACCGTAGTCTGATGTTATCATGTATGAGTATGTACTGTATATAGGGACGAAATCGCAATAAAGGTTGTATTTTTTGCGTTTGGACTCAGCAACATTTACATGGCAAAAGGTAAAAAGACTAGAAAGATTGACCAAATGGGCGAAATGGGATGGTATCATCCCATTTCGCCTACAGGACATTTCGCCTACGAGACATTTCGACTAACACATACTATGTGTACACTGTACGGTTCCGTTTACAGTTTACTCTTCTGTTCCCATTAATTACCTCGTCTTAATGAATCTTAGAGAAAACAATTGTGTACAGTGCAGTATTCAGTAAACTATTTTGTTTATGCTCGCCTTTTTAACAGCATTTACAATCTTATAAGATGCACCGTTGAAGCATGCAGCTGCATACTGTATAAAAACATCATGACTGTATAATTATTATGTATCAGCCATTTCATCCAGTTGTGTCTGTCTGTACGTTGTTGTATACGTGCAGGTATGTGCACACTGCACACTATGCAACATCAGCGAGATTCGAAACTGAGCGGCATATAAACAACTGCTGATGTAGATGAGCTAGATTCGAAATCATAACACGCATGAGCAAGGCTGTCTTCCCGCACTATACAAATCGAACTCTCAAATTGTTAACCGTTGGCTGAACCATCAATTGATTTTGTATTAGCCGCAAGTTTTGAATTTTTCTATAATTTTACGTAGTTACATAACCGTACCGGTATGCAGTAAATTATGGCGGAAATATCATTTTCTACTACTAATCGGAAAGGCAAGGTGTTGAATTACAAGGGTTATGAGTATATCGAAGACTGGAGACGTGGAGATGACAGAACGGAGAATTGTCATAACTGGCGGTGTCGAGAAAGGACACATTGCAACGCACGTTTGTATTACGCTGATGAACAACCTGTTGAGCGCGGCCAGCATTCTCACGCCCCGGACATCATAAAGGTTACCGCGAAATCAGCCAGGCAGGCACTAAAGGTTCGTGCAGCTAATACAGTGGAGCGACCACGCCAGATCATTGATGAAGTTCGAGCCGAAATGCCAGTCTATGCTGCAGTAAAAATGTCCTCTTACAATGCTCTCGCCAAAACCATTGGACGCCAAAGAAGAGCGGAAGGTGTCCCTACAGCTCGTGTAACTTGCTTGGCTGATATCGATGGCAGCTATTTTCTGAAAGAAACCACGCGCAAAGAATCCGTCTTAATTGCTGACACTGGGGCCGAAGATTTACATCGGATTATTGTGTTTGGAGATCCAAAATGTTTTGATTATTTTGGTAGAACCAGTGTTTGGCTCAGCGATGGTACCTTCAGTGTCAGCCCGCCTGTTTTTACACAGTTGTACACGGTGCATGGAGAGGTTTGTGGTGCAACGGCTCCGCTTATTTATGCCCTGCTGCCGAATAAATGTGAGCTCACTTATCGACGTTTTTTTACAATACTGCGAGACGCAATGATTCATAAAAGTCGATCGGAAAATGTGGGGCCGGAATTCATGTTAATGGACTTCGAACAATCGGCAATCATCGCGTTCAGGAAAGTTTTTCCGGGGACAAAGCTAAGAGGTAAAATTTTAAAAAATATTTTCTACAACTTTCATAAATGTCTTTCATTTTTCTGAGATACTTACATCATCGTATTTTTTATACAGAGATAATTTGTATTTTGATGAACGGAATTTGTTGAGATATTTACTTAATCGTCACGGTTTTTTTTTGTAGTTTTATTGGCTCCATGTAATTTTTTGTTATTTTTATTTGAAAATACATTTGTCAATAAGAATTAACAATATTGATATATTATTAATATACTTACTGTACTATTATTACTATCATTACTATTATTGCTATTAATAATATTATTTATATTATCGCTGTTATTACTATTACTGCCTTTATTAATATTATTAATGTTATTGCTATTATTGCTGTTGTTACTTTGATTACTATTAATAATATTACTTATATAATCAGTATTATCGCTGTTATTACTGTTATTGCTTTTTATTGATATTATTAATGCTATTGATATTATTACTATTTTATTATTACTAAAAATATGATTACTATTACTTTTATAAATTTTATCGTTAATAATATTGTTGCAAGTAATACTATTTTTACTATTATTATTATTATCCTTATTATTGCTGTTATTCTATTACTGTATCACTGACGCCTATAATATTAATCAAATTAATGTTGTTATTATGAATATTATTAATTTACATTTCTCTCCTTTTTCAATTAATATTTTTAGATGTATCGGAACTTAACATTTGTTTAAATAAATTAATTAGGTTGCAATTAATTAGGTTGCAATTTCCATTTCGGACAAAGCTTGTACCGGAAACTAGTAGCCCTGGGACATGGTCCTACTTACGCTACTGATGCCGAATTCAGCATTTCGTGTCGTATGCTTTTTGCTCTCGCGTTTGTTCCGGTAGAAGACGTAGAACAGGCTCTTATAGAACTGTTGGACACACCGGGCTTTCCGTTCAAACACGATGACCTGTTCATTGCATATTTGAAAACAACATATGTCGGGGAAACGACAACAATGTTTCGAGCATCCGGATGTTGCATCAAACGGCCTCTGTACCCAGTTAAATTCTGGAGTTGTGTGGACAGACTTGAGAAAGATATTCACCGCACGACCAATCGGTTAGAAGCATGGCACCGCACTTTTTCTGATGCTATCAATAAAGACCACCCTGGTATCTATCAGTTCTTCAACTTGTTGTGTCGGGAAATTGTTCATCAGCAAACAGAGGCCGCTTCACGCATGGCAGGTGAAATACCAAGACAGAAGAAGCAATACGCCGAGGTCACCAAACGACTGAAGAACGTCGCGTCCAGCTACGGGCAAATCGATACGATCAGCTATTTGAGATCGGTAGCCATCAATCTGGAAATCATGTTGTAGAGTGTAAAGTTAAAACTTTGAGTGGTTCTGTTGAGCACCTGTTCAGTTAATCAAGCTTTCTGTATACTGTATTATGATTTACATATCCACATATTACACACATACTCTGTATGCATGAGCAGATCGTAGCGCAACAGCTTTGTGTTATAATAACCATAATAATCTAACATTATTTAACGTAACAATGGAGTGTGCGGAAGAACTTATCGTACGTACTGTATATTTATAATATCGTTATTATTTTAAATTAAATTCAAATTGGTGGTTATTATTTATTACAGATTGAGTTCGTTCTGGTTAGTGGATGGTTCATGTGTAATGGTGTTTAGCTTGTACAAAGTCGGAAATAAAATTAATAGCTAAATTCACGATGTACTGAAAGTAAGGTCTGGTAGTACTGCCATGGCTTTTTACATTTAGATCATGTAAAAATGCAAAAACGCAAGGCGTGTCCGTTTTTCTAACATAGAAAGTACTAAGTACTGAAAATAAAGTTATTTTCTATAGGTAGTACGTAGCTTATAATACGTATGTGGTCTTCCTGTATTAGGCAAAGCAAATTGCCCATTCGGCGAAATATCTGTTAGGCGAAATGTCTGTTAGACGAAATGTCTGTTAGGCGAAATGTCTGTTAGGCGAAATGGCTGTTAGGCGAAATGTCTGTTAGGCGAAATGGGTGGCATTCGCACCACCTTTTAAGAATTAATTCTCACACCACCTTTTGACTATTGCCACCGCCTCTGCACACCTCTTTTGGCTGGCTGCAGAGAGGGTGAATTAAGCAAATTCTTTAATTTTTTATGAACGAATATGCTCACTTTTTTCCAGAAAACTTTTTTTTTAAATTTGCAATTCGTCGACGTCAGCAGTGGTGGTGCGGGCCACACACCTGTGACCTGACCATGAGGATGAGATTCATCGGTGTTCGGTAGCTGCGACGGCTACTGCATTGTGAACACTTAAGGGGAGTTGGGCCGTTACATGGCCGTCACTACAATGGTACAAAATTCGTGTACATGCACGAAAACTTACACTTTCGCGCACTCCCAAACACTTTTGTGTTTCGGTTTATAATATTCTGTAGCCAGAAGATTTGTATACGCTGGCGTGAAAACCGTTTGTGCGCGCAACATCCGGTTCGGGAGTTATTCAAAAAATTCGAAAAATTTATGTATAAATTATATAACATCCCTGTTTGTTACGTCAAAATGGCACACAGCCAGTCTGCAAACTCGGCGAGAATCACGAATTTACAGTGTCCGACGTGGCTATAAAATTAATCAAAGTGAGAGTATCATTCCTGTAACGCGCGCAGTTTCAAAAGTGCCGGGGTAAGCACTTGCTGTTATGGGCCTACAATGACTTCCCGGCATAGCTTAGGGCCTTAGGCGTACGGCTCCCAACCGCCACACGGCGCCATGCCGCCATCCCCGGCGAGAATCGGCAATTTTCTTATCCGTAGAAACGGGATGCTCAGGTCTGCTAGTATAGCAATGAACTGAAGGGTGTTACAGGGGATGACGCATCGCGTGCATTTCCCTGTTCGATTCTCCTCGTCGGGATACGAGTGTGTCTTTTGCGATGATATCATTCTGATTTTGCATTTTTTCCCTGATTTTTACGATTTTCCTGCGCATTACCATTCGCGCAGATTTTTGTCTTCCGATGATGTTTTTGTATACGAATAAAACCGCAGTTTTATTCCCGTTTGTCTTTTCCGTCTGATCTTCCCATTACGGGACCGTTATACACGCCACCACGTGTAACAAGGGGTAGTCGGGTTAACGGTGCGCCAACAGGAGCTCTACTATTCGTATTATTACGTATTCGCTCGAGCACTACTATTACGGATTCGCTCTGTTTCTGTTCGTGTGCTGTCATATAGGCGGTGGCGTAATACCGTAACCTTAGCACTGTCGCCTCGCCTAGTTATTATGATTTTTCATGTATCTTTCCGATTAACAAAAAGCATAATTTGCGCAAAAAAAGGATTTCAGAATACGAACTGGAAAGAATTGAAAATACGAAATGAATATTACGAGTATTTAGTTAAGTATATCAGTGTTTATTGTTTGATAATTATAAAGTAGCTAATTTCTTAATAAACAGCAGGAAATTGGTACACCGTAACCATAATTTACGTTATTCGGTAACTGTGTATTTACTGTGAGTCGGTGATTTACATAACTGCGGTCAATTTAAACTCATGACAGTCTTTGGAAAAATTATCGGAAACAGGAAATTTCTGTGCGCTATTATCAAAGGCATTCAAAGTGGACCTCTTTAATATGAAGCGGCACTGACGCCTAACAATAAAGTTTTGTTGCATGGATAACATATATTATAAGGATACAATTTAAATATACAATTTGCTAGAAACTGGGGTGGGTGCTGTTGCCAGCAGTGGCAGCATTTAGACCAGAGTCGCCAGATGTATATGTATTTTAAAAAGAAGACTTCAGTTTAAAACCCGGCCGGAAGTGCGCTTTCGGTCGATTTGGCGTAAAGTAGCGCACACTAGTCCCAGTCCCAAATGGTCACAGTCCCAATCGCTCCCAGGCCCAGTCCGGCACAGTCACAGACGGTCACAGTCACATAAACTCCCACTCCCACCCAGTCACAGTCACAGACTTTAGTAATACCCTAATAAGCAGATACGAGCTGTACTTCATAACACATTTTCGAAAATGTGCACTCAAGCAGCAATGGCACGAACCACCGCAAGTGGGCTTCTGTTACCAAAGTCTGTATAAAGAGCTTACGCTCAAGTCGCCTCTGTGGAGGCAGAACTGCCTCTGCTCCTTCGACTATGCTCCTGGCAAAGAAAGCCATAAAAACCTAGGGTAGCAAGATAGCAACATAGCAAGCCCGGGGCTGCATAATGTGTGCCTCTCGAACACAAAGGCGTGTATTACAAAAGAGCTTTGTTGAGTCTGTTTGGTTGAAACAAAGCAGACCGTATCAATTAAAGTTCTGCAAAAACAGTACCAGAACTGTGTGCGAGTTCATTATTTCTTCACGTGCACACCTGCTATAGTGCCATCTAGCAGAAAGTAAAAGTGTGCCTTTGAGAATAACATTGGATTCTTCGGCTGCGCCGTATAAATATTTTAAATGGGAATATAAAAGTTATTGTTATTGAAAAATGTGACTTCAGTAGTTCAGTTTATCTATGTTGACAGCGGTAGTTGTTGCGGTTATTTCTTTAACACGTAATAAATATTATTAAAATGGATCGACGCATTATCAAAGATCGTGATACCGGCCGACGAAAAATCTTTAATGGGAAGCGCTGGTGCTTAATGTGCTCTTTAGAATCGTGTTCTAACACTGCGGCGGTAGGAGGTTTTTGTGGATCGCACGCAGAGAGTAATGGAGTTGGTAAGTGCCGCTTGTGCATATAATTTATTTTCTTTCAGAACTGTAGTGGTTTTTCTTGATTTGTTTAGTTTTTTGTGTGTTAACCGAGAACTAAAAGCGGCTGTTTATTTAGTTTCGTATACTCGTTTTTACTGAGGACCAGCTGCTTTTCTCGATTTGTATACTCGTATTTACTGAGGACCGTATTTAAACGAAGGCCAATCAGTAAAAGTAAAAACATAAATTTATCAGTTCCTACTTTCAGGCCACACTGTCTGCTAGAACAAGGGCCAGCAGAAGTTTACTGTATGCTCTTCTTGTGTCTGCTCCTTTTCGGTATGATGTGTTGCACTTCACACATCTGGGTTTCGGGTGGTTTTTATTATGTATGTATGCCCGGGCCTGCTACACTTTTGTTTACACAGTGAAACAGCATAGTGAGCCTTTGCGGCAAGTGCACGGGCCCTCTGTTACTAGGGAATTTTACATTTCACATGGTTCAGGCTCCGTCCACTAGAAACTACCGCGTCACATAAACAGTACGTTACCAGATTGACAGCGTTTAAAATGCTTGTACGGATGCACACTTGCAGTGACGTACAGCTGAAAAATAAATCGAGTCGAGAGTGCCGAGAGCGTGACCAACCTGCTCTCGGGGAGGCGGTTAGAGCACACAAAAAAAGATCCACAGGCAGCATGCGCTGGCTTATCGCTCAGCCATATGGCTGAGCCGTTGCACAGATCCACGCAAGGCAGATAGTTTTTACGCGTCAGCCAACGACGTTAGGTTACGGCGCCTTACGTCGCGAACGGACGTAAATCGACCCGTAACGCCAACTTCTACCCGCAAGTCGAACTGGACGCAACTTGTTTTGTGAAATCTAAAATTCGCTACTTACATCGCTGCTCGATAGAGGCCAAAGTCGGCAAAGTTGGGCCCAAGTCGGACCATACTCAAACTCTGATTCTGACCACTCAAACTCTGACTCTGAGTCTCTGACTGCCCAGAGTCTGACTCTGACTACTCAAAGTACGACTGAAAGGCTGACTCTGATTCTGAAGGTTTCTTAGGTTAATCTTTAGGTTATTTTTAGGTAATTTTAGGTTCTTAGGATATTCTTGAGGGATTTGGCCCGGTACATAGCACTAAATTCGTGTACATTGACGGGAATATTCGCTTGCGCGCACTTCCAAACACTTTTTTGGGTTGCTTTTTGACATTGTGTAGCCAAATGATTTGTATACACAGATGTGAAATCCGTTTTCGCGCGCAACATCCGCTTGCGGAGTTAATGAGGTTAAAAAAATTCCAAAAAGTTTAAATGCATTCAGGTGTACCAAAAGTCTCATTATGCACCGATCTCTTTCAAATTTTGCAGGTAAATGCACATAACCATGAAGATCGTTCTTACACCGATCCACTGCTCTAGCATGTTTTTCAAATTTTAAAATGAATTTCAAAAATTTTAAAATTCCTTTTAAAATTCGAAAAAAATCGTTGAAGTCTGGTTCCGTGTAGGAACAATCTTCATGGTTAAATATGTGCATTTACGTGCAAAATTTGAAGGAGATCGGTGCATAATGAGACTTTTGGTACACCGGAATGCATTTAAACTTTTTAGAATTTTGCTACCCTCATAACTGCGCAAACGGATGCTGCGCGCGGAAAAGGATTCCACATATACGTATGCAATTCTTTTGGCTACAAAATACCATAAAGCTATGCAAAAAAGTGTTTGGAAGTGCGCGACAGCGAAAGTTTCTGTGGATATACACGAATTTGGTTCTATGTAGCGGGCCAAATCCCTTAAGCTTAAGTTTCGTAGTATATTCTTAGGCTATCCTTGGGTTTCTTAAATTTCTTGGGTTTTCTTAGGTTTTCTTAGGTTTCTTAGATTTCTTAGGTTTTCTTAGTCAGTCAGAGTCAGTCAGAGTCAGACTGAGTAGTCAGAGTTTGAGCGGTCAGAGTCTGAGTCTAAGCTTGAGCGCGGGGAAGCAGTTTGGCTTGGCCTCAGTGTTTTTTGTGGTTAACCGACGGAAACCGTGGTTATTTCAATCAGTTTATAATTCGATATTGGAAGTTAACTACTAATACATGTAGTTAACTTCTGCGTTCCTTGATCAACCTTTCTCAGTTCTCATAACAACTAAGAAACAACAGCAAAAAAAAACAAGATGAAAGATATGACTAGCACCTTTATGAATAATTTTTCGGGTATGATAATAACCTCGGTGAATAATCGCCGTCTGATTACGCTTTGTTGTAGTGAATATGAACCCTTCGTCCATTTTAAAGCATTATATTGACAGACAACAACACTTATTACATGCAAATACATAAATGACAGATGCTGCGTTGTAAAAGTTAAGTAACTATTTGTCAAAAATAAAGTTTGCTGAATCGCCCCAAAGGGTTGTCGAATCGCCCGGTGAAGAACAATGGACACGGAACCAGAGTTGCGCACCCGGATCCACTGTTGGATCCGGGTTTGCCGAATCGCCTTACGTACCGTACCTACAGAGCGCAAGCCAGTATTCAAGTCGCCAAGCCAGTATTCAACTCTGTAGTCGCAAGCCAATATTCATCCAAGCTCAGCTTGTATTATCACATGCTAAGCTGGTTATAAATTGTAATACTGTATGTAATAGTGCTCAGTGCTCATACAGTCATTCTGCATACATATTATGCAAGTAAACTGTATTTCTTTAATTGACTGGTTGTCACAGTAAGTAATCAGTCACAGTAATCAGAATTCTGTTTTCTGTTAGATATTAGGTTTACTGCCTGTGTCCGCGATTTGACGCCTCCACTTCTAAGCGATATCTTGTCGCACTTGGATTTGCATTCACAGATGAGAGCAAGACGGTAAGGATTTCGTATCATGCGTGCTCTGCCTCAGAATTTCTTTTTAAAAAATAAAAGAACAGTACTTACAATAATATATACTGAGCATGCACTATCATCACAATTCATTAAAAGATATGTAAAATCACAATAGAATAATATGTTCGATTAATTAGTACTAGTACAGAAAATTGATTCTACGAATACGATACGAAAACTTGACAGATAGCGATGCAGCATAACTGATTATAAAACATGTCTATTTGCACCCCGAGTCGTTTTTTATTTCCCGGCTAATGTCGGCATGCCATAGTTGAGTACAAGCCCGCCACCCTGGACGGCTGTCCACAACCGTAACATGGGCGGGTGCCGCTGTCGCCGCCTGCCGCTACCGTGGGCGGTTGGCCGCTACGATCACTCAGGGTGGTTGCTCTTTATGAAAATCTTTCCATAAAAGTTTGTGTTTTTCCAGTCTTTGTGATACTCGTATCTTTATCTTATCTTATCTTACGATTTATACATTATTACCTCTTAAAAGTTTGCAATTCAAGAAGTAATTCAATATTCAAAGGACCAGTTTAAAATTTTTTATAAAAACCAAGCACTTAGCAGAATAGATTAAGACGCTTTTGAAAAAAAATCAATAGATTTTTGTTTGTTTTTATTAACCATTGGTTAGAACATGGTTTCCCCAGGTCTGAAGTATAGGAAACGTAAAACTGGCATCACTGCATAGCAATGCGTACGTAATGACTGTAACCACGGAGACTATAGCGGCTATAGCGAATGCATAAATACATAGTTGCTTTTAGTGTAGATGGTAATTATTATTGTGTGAATAGTAAATTACGTAATTTGGTAAACGTCCATAAAAGGTAAAGTACAGCGCCACTAATTTCGCATATACAGTATTTGTATACGTCAGAACGTAATACGTATCAGAAGATCAGAACGTCAAAACGTGAAAAATCAAAACGTTAGAAGATCAGAAATTCACAACGTCAGAACATGAGAACGACAGAATATCAGAGCGACAGAACGTGGAAAATTAAGAACAGAAAACTGAATAATGGTTTGAGCTGTCCGTTTGGAATTTTGGATAATATTTCGGGATAGTGTGTATCGGTACATACTCAAAACTATGCATTTGCAATGGAATGGCGCGTACGTAATCAAAAGATCGCGCGACTGTTCGACGGAAAGTTTTAAATGGAAAGGGTGTTTCGTGTTTTCTTTTGCTTCTTATATCTCTTATATTTCTTATGGTTTCTTATATACATCATCTGCATAATGTACGCTGCAATATTCACACTGAATCAGTAAAGCGGCAGTACTTAAGCGAATGACTCTTCAAGAATGTGCCGTCATTTTTGAATTTTGAACCGGTCCTTGACAATTCTCGTACGGATTTACTAGTGCGCATTTTTAATTAAGCTTGAGCATAATTAAAATTGTTCAATTTTAATTATACTTAAGCTTAATTATGAGTCAAATTATGAATAATATAAATAGCCTGCTCAAACGAAAGCTGAATTTTAATTATGATAAGCAAAATTAAAATTGGACAATTTTAATTATGCTCCAGTTTAATTAAAATTGTTGAATTTTGATTATGCTGATCATAATTAAAACTGATCAATATTCAATTATGATAAGCTTAATCAAAATTATAAGCAAAATAATTATGATGAGTTTAATATTCAATAGGATTTACTATTTATAGTATGTAGTAATATGTAGTAAGTAGTAATCCAGTGTTTTTGCCTCTTCACAGAGTGTGTGCTTTATGGCAGTTGCTGCTGAGTAGCCCTAAAATGATGGAGCATATCAGCATCTCTTTCGAAAGCTGTTGGCACCTCAAAGCCGACGGTGATAACCGTATCCTCCGAGCCGACAGCAACAACTGCTTCAAAGCGACCTCTTTACTCAGTCGCTCAATCAACTCAACGACCATCAGTCTGACCATCTTGAGAGTCTTTCCACCGCATCACATTCTGCAGCCGTTGTTAGAAGCCATGGAAATCAAAGTGCCGCTACTAGTGCTCAAAGACCATATTACCATCCAACCAGTATATCGCATAGGTGTGAAAAAACCGTCGCGTTTAAAGCATGGAGCAACGGATTTTGTTACGTCATATAAGAACCGTTGTAACTCTGTTCTGCTGCTCAACTGGAAAGTTTCCGGCCTTTTTGGTCTACATATGTATGATCTCTTTGAGCATAATTGGTTAAATTTCGGCGTGGAGGAGATTTTTCGTCTCCTGCCAGATAACCGAGAGTGGATTTTGCCTCCTACATACAAGCCGCAGGAATTTGCCATTGACAAGTTACAGATCACCATCCCGAAGCTTCTGCTGCCGTGCAGCGACGGCAGCATGCCCATGGCCAGCCGCATGATGTGCGCCTTAAATGACGGCTTCTCGCCGGTCACGGAGGACATTGTAGCAAAGGTTACGGCTGTTCATGCGCGCTGGGTTAGCAACCTGACCTACCCAGAGGACTGGCAGAGCATTCGCGATTATCTCCTAATGTAAGTGGATACTTCATAGGATGTATTATTATGAGCTTCAGCGGCATATGGTATCCTTCGAGCTCACTTCTAATTCGAAGTCAATTTTTTTGTTAATTTAAATCGATAGTTTGTCTTTGTCGGGGTTAAAACATCCGTAATGAGACGGAATGATGTTACTAATCGTTTAATTAGCGTTGGAAGTAAGAAAGCTTTCTCGGTCTAATTGTAAGCAGTAAGCACTGACTTTTAATATCGTACACTTGTAGCTATAGTACAGTACTGTTTAATACCCGTCCGACGGTCTGAGCAATACTTCTGTAATCAATTTGAGCATGCGAATCTTGCTGTTTTTTTGTAGTCGTTGTTGTATGTACAATATACATGCAGGTTAGTTCACGAAGGGCCATTGCGCAGTGCGCAATGCGCACACAACTTAACAGCTAGAGCTGCCACAAGATTAAGTACATTATGTATTCACATCTGGTCTTACCATGGACAATATGTATAATATGAAAAATTCGTGTTGCGCAGGTTCAGTGGGTTCGAACCTGACGGAAGGCCAAAAGTGTGGGAGGAGATCGACCTGAGGGTTGTCGATTTATCGACATGGAGTAAAATGGCCACACATGGTATAAACGAGGTGTTCCGAGTGTGAAGCGGTGCAGCTGCATCAACTTTGATACCGTTCGAAGAGTCGAGACGACCCTGATCGGTATTTCCCGGACAATACCAGTTTCGGGGCATCCCTTGTTACGGGATGGGGCATATCGCTACAAGCTGTACGATCCTGGTTACTATTTCCAGGACACTACCAGTATCGGAAGATCCCTTATTACGGCATGGGGCGTGTCGCTATAAGCTGCATATTTTACAACTTCTTGATGACATAAGCTGCTTAATTTGACTACTGCAAATTATCCTCCAAAAATTATTGTCCTGAAAATTATTTTCGATAAATTAACCAGTTGTCTTCTTTTCTTGTCTGGCTTCTGGGTTGTGTAAATGGGAACGTCCTGTGCGCTTCTGTTCCGCGCTTCTTTTGCGCATTGCTATTTGTTTTGTGCACTACTCACTACGAGTAGGATTCCAATCTCGATATGGAATGATGTGGAATGTGTGCAATAAGTGCAGTAGATTGTGGGCATCATGAAAAGATTTCAATCACTACGATGGATTTGTTCAGTTTATAAATTTGTCAACTCTACAAGGGAGCAAACATGTTATACCCAGAAAACCGTGGACAATGCCTCTAACGCCATTATATAGCGCAATCATCCGATCCTGTCGTGTTCACCCACTACAGACTGCATGTACTACAATGCGCTTTTGTTTCTTTTTATAATTATTAGTATTTTTGTGCTGTTTTTCTCACCATCAGTATGCAGTACGTACTGTTCGAAGAGCCGGAAGTAACCACTTCGTAGACCCTGCACAGTACTACTACACAACACTAAGGTCTTGCGGCATCATATCTGCCTTAAGACATGCATTATTGCCTTTTTTAAAAATTGTGATTGTCAATAGCCACCAAGATAAGTACTAGAGTAGTACAACTGTTGCAACTTGCAAAGCCGGTGCACTACTTTTTTTACTTACTAAACGCCATTAAACGTGTTTTGAATTTAAAGTTTTGTGAATGTAAAAACTTTATACAAAATTTCAGTCTACCGGACGGTCAAACGTTATAATTAAGTACATACTTAATACAGCAGCTGAGCAGCAGCATTTCTTTTGAGATACGTGTCACAATAATCGCGTAGATACGTTATATAAGCAGCAGAAGACGCTTCTCCAGTCAATTCCCGAATTCTTGGGCCCATAAAATGCACCAGTGCGTTTAAAGCCCCCGTTAAAGTTTATGCTGATTCCGCAAGAGCAGTCGTGCGACCAGATATTGCGCCCGTCCAGATGCCCGGACAGACGCTCGGTGGCTATGGCACTGGCATAGCCGCGAGAAACGTTAATAGTCAGTGTGGGCTGGTTACTCGACCAACGACTAGCACCAAAACCGCCGGACATAGACTGAGCTAATCCGACTCGGACGACGAAATGGTCTCTGGTTTCCCGGTGCACTTGGAAACGCGACCGCCCGGAGCTAGTACGGACAACCGATTCCATGGACAAATTTCACGGCTCCATTAGGATGGAGAAATCGACCCCGAGTGAACCCTCCGACAGGCGACTTTACCCGAACCATTCGCCGGTATGGTCTTTATGCGGCGCAAAGCGGCACGTGGCGCAGCTGTTACCCGGAACATCCGACCTACTGCATCCGTTCGACATCTGCAACTGAGTCCTGCAGAGGTCGTATTGGATATTTTGGACTGCACAGGCGAGCGGCACACTTGCCAGACCGAACCGGGATTTGTGAATAACTGGTACAAAGTCATTTGGGATCTCACACTTCAGAGGATAACGACCACGCTAAACCCTTGTCCCATAGGACGACGACCCGACGACGACGATTGAACGATACAATAAGCAGATGTGCGGGCGCAAATCTCGCCAAAATGAAGATGGATGGCGCTACCTCATCCTTAAGCAAAGCTGTGGTTGACAATAAGAAGTCGGAACCTTGGGGCATACGGCAAAAGGTCTCGTCAAAGAACTGGGTAAAAGACTGCGGCAGCCCGCCGGAGAAACATCCTCGCATAAGTATAGATCTATGACAGCAATTGTCGATAAAAATACAGCGGGAAATGTGGCGTCACGATGGGAACAGCTGAACGAGAGTTTTTTGTATACTTGCGTGACGTTTTTTTATTTTACGCAGTTTACGGTTTACCGGTTGTGGTCATAGAAAAAACAGACCAAATAGTATATGGTAGTGTACGATATTATTTATTATTTGGTAGTGTATAGATATTTGAACTCTACAACTTTATGTGGCAAGCATGCCACGAGACCAAAAAGGTAACGCGACGGGTAACGGGGAAACGCGTAAAAAATGTGACGTAACAGCGCGTAAGCAAGCAAACATTCTGATTCGCAATCACAAAATCTGGGATGGGTTTTCAGCTTACTTGTCCGCGTAAGCGTTGCGCTTCGACGTCGAAGCGCAACCATTACCCAAACTACGAGTAACTCCTAACTCTCCTGCACAGATTAACAAAATTTGTTTGTGTTTGGACCAAAAGTAAATCCAGCGACCCAGAGTTGCACTCCAAAACTCATAATTAACTTTTTTGACGTAATACCACATTTAGCACATTACAGCATTAAAAATGAGTTTTTCAGTTCCACTTCGGTGTTCAATTTCTCTCTTGGCACGGAAGCGTACTCGACTTACTATTGGGCGATAATTTTTTTGCTGAGTCATGGATACTTTTTTACGCGTTTCCCCGTTACCCGTCGCGCAACGGTTACCCAAATGTAATTGACCTCCACCATTAACGTAACAGCGTGCGATCTGCTCTGATGTGCATTAACACAACAAGCCAAAACAACGTCCAGTCTAGGGAGCAGTTAGTTGTCAATAATCGCTTCAGACAAAAAGTATACATCTGTCGAAGACGCCAGACTGAATTAAGCAGTCCGTACTGCTCCACGACTGCCCAGGGGTCACATCCATCAATGAAACGTAACGGACAATCGTCAACTGCAAAAAAATATTTTACATATATTACCTATAAGTCAGTGTTTCTAATAACTAAAGCTGACCCCGTTTACCCGCAAACAGCTCAAATTCTACATAAACGTTCGTTCTCCCTCAGATCCAGCGCCAAGGAAGCACCGTCCGAGAAATTCTGATTATCGGGCTCTTGGTGGATGCCACAAAATGATGCCGCTCCCCTCGATAAAAGAATGCGATTGTAGCTAATGCGGTTATAAACCTCTTGACAGCGGATTTTAAGTTAGAAAGCACTTTTATTCGCAGGAAGCGGATTTTTGGATTTTGTGCAGCTGCTCCAAACATATTTATTTTACTTAGTGATTTACCCAGCAGCGGAATGGACTTAGGGCATCTTCTTTTTCATAGGTCACCAAAAACGAGCGGGCATTCTCTCTCCAAAACCCGATACAGTGCAGGATATAATCGGGCTCATCTGACATAAATACAAATATTAAAAAGCCAGTAAGCAAAAAAGAATTTTATATCGACAAACGATCAAATATTTATCTAATCATCGCGTGTATGTCGAGTTTGTGGATGTTTTTTAAGTGCATGCCGAACACCTATATAAAAGATTTGCGATTACAGTAAAGTAAGAATAGGGTTATTACATAAGTTTACTTCGTTTAATTTACGTTAGTATATGTACCGTATTCGCCAATTGGTTTTGCTTGCCAGTGCAGTGTCATACATTTATCCAAATCGATAAGGATTTGTTTGGTTGTGTATTGTTCGTACCATTGTTGAGGATCCACACGGAAAAATCGGTTTCATATTCTTTGCAATCCACTTGATCGCGAGGTGATTGTGTCACTCCTCCGCGTACGCGTGTTTGTAAGGGAATATCACCGGCTTGCGCGAAATGAATTTCCCGCCAATCGGACATTCCACCGGAAATGGGTTGGAGGCTGGAAAAAAGGCATTAGTACAGATACACGGTACCAGGCTACCAGCAATACGTAAAAGCAACCTAACCGGTAAGCAAACTTAAACGACTATACGAGTACAGCATAATTATACGAGCACAATACAAGCTCGTACAATGCGCAGAATTAGGCATACTCGTATATACAGATATAAGGTCTGCGAGACACTGTGATCAGGTACAGTACTGTAATATCTGTATATGTCTCGCAATGTCATGCAAATTCAGATAAATGTATTATGGTAATCGCGACATGTATAAGTGTGTGAAAGGATTTTCACATATTATAAGTCTTACGCAAAAAAAGTGATCTGTCGAGGTGTTATACATAATTTCAACTTTTAAGGCCGACAGTGCGCAATGTAGTTTTTCACTGACTGTAACAGACTATGGCGAGGAGCTCACGATGCGTCTTTATTAGACAATAAAGGCTGACAAAGCTGCGTAATAGCAGGAAGAAAGAACAAAGGCACGTGTGGCCAAATAGCAAGTGTATGCTAAACAGGGTTCTTGAGCGTCTTGTTGGCGAGTAAGTAGTCAACTGAATCCTGGCGGCAAGCACGTGCGTTGATGCAGGCCAAGACGTGAATCAGCTGTGTGATGCGCAGACTGGACTCTACCCAACGCGAGCGTATGAACGCTGAGTAGTACTGCGAGAGAGGGACGAGAGAGCAAGTATGCTCAGTGTGTGCGCACGCGGTATATCCACTTCAGTGGATGAGTGCAGTGCAGCGTCACACGTACGTACAAGAGAGAGGCAATAATTATGGCATGTACGTGAGTGCAAGTACGCTCTATGTTGAGCCGTACGCACCACGCACAGGCTCATGTGCCTGACATGCCTCTGGGCGGGAATCCGAGCTCCCGCGAAGGGTGCTCCGACTCAGTACCGCACCAGTACTGCACAACTCTCCGGTTGGACCTATTGTGGGGTCGCGGTACGCGTCCTCTGTCGACAGGGAGTCCGGTGTCTAGTTGACCGTCCCTTGATCCACTTCCGAACCCGTGAGAGGCAAGCAGCTCACGGCCGAGAAATCCGGAAGTTGCTCGTGCGTTTCGTTGGGCCGGTGATGCATCTGTTGGCTGGCTTCTTTGCGTCAGTTGGCATCGGAGAACAATGTGAAAAGAAAGATGTAATGAAAGTTATACAGCGCGAAAGAAAAATAAAGTTTTATTCACAATTCCAGTGAGCAAAAAGGGGTTACAAAACAGATCTGTCAAAGAGATCGAACTAGAAAAATACAATTCCGTTTGTTAGGTAAAGTGCTAAAAAAATCCAAAAATCTGTCCGGGGGTCCTATTCCGACTAGGATGACGTCCACGGGGTACTTGAGTTGCCACGGGGTCTCCTGTCCAATCTCATCCGGTGAGTTGGGTCCGGGGCGTCGGTTCCCGGGTTACCCGTCGTAACCGGCTAAAATCACCGAGGTCGGATAAGCATGGTTAACACTTACTTCCGACTCGTATCCGTCCGTTGGGAAGAGAGAGGCACTGTTGCAGTTGCAAATGCCGAAGCATCCTCTCTGAATGGGGGAATTAGACCAAGGTCGGTTGACCGAGGTCGGACTACCGGTAAGTCGACCGGCAGGTTGGAAATCCGGCTAAGTTCCGAAGTCCAGGTCGGACAAAGTTATACCCAAGTCATGCGACCTTTGTGGTCGTCAAGTACAGCAGTTCCGTTCAAAAGTGGTCGGTTAAACCGTTAAATCTGCTACCACGAGCCTGGTTATGAAATCATCCGATGCGAACTGGCTCGAAGGTCCGGTCGGAAATCCTTGGTTTCTTCGGTGGAAGTGTCCGGTTCACTTCCATCCGATGCATGTTGTTGTCCTCCGACCTATAGTCGGTCTTAACGTTGTCCGATGTGGGGTCGGATATAATGGTATCCGAAGTGAGATCGGATATTCCGTCCTTCGAGGTCGACCTAGGTTAACTTACTCTGTCGTGCCAATATAGGGCTGACAAGTCCATTCAGGTCGGATTCCTCCATCGCGAAGTAGTTATTTGTCTTCTTCCGTCATGTTGACTGAGTTAGTCGACCAATGTTGGTCGGCTAACATATCTGAATTGAGGTCGGATATCCATGTGGATGTTCCACGGTCGGCTATGTTGTGTCCGACTTACCGAGGTCAGATAGAGTGTGTTTCCATCCGCCCAAAGCTGAATTCTTCCGTTGGGACGTCGATGTCCAACTTCTGACTGCTGTTCTGACTTGTTGTCGCATTTATCCGACCTCCGTTTGGTCACTTCCGACCTCCGACTTCGAGGTCGATTGTATATTCTTCTTCATGGTCCATCAAGACGACTTATACCGTTACGCCCAATGTGGGGCTAGTTGGCATTCGTCTGGCCGATTCCGCGTGTGCCGTCTGTCCGGCTACAGTTGACTGGGTCTCCGGTGTCTGAATATCCTTCGGTCAGTTCCGACTGGCAGAAGAATACACGGCAGCACGACTTCGTTCTTCTGTGGCTATGTTGTTCCTGACATGAACTCTGGGTCGGATCCGAGCTTCTGTTGGTCGATCCGAGTGAAATGCCTCTGGACGGGTCCGAGTCCCGGCGCGTCCTCTGGTTGATCGACTCGAGTGAAATGCCTCTGGGCGTCCGAGTCCCGCTCCATTAAGATCCATGTTGGGCCATGGCACGTTGTCGTGGCGTCTGTTGGCCAAATGACTAGTACTTCCTCATGCATCATGATTTCGTATGGTGAGGAAGGGCCTTTGTGGTCCCTTCTCACCAGACTCTTTGGTTTCCATCATGCCCATGCAAAGTTCCTGAGGTCGTATCAGATACGATTCTTCGTCTTCTTTGTCGCGAACCAGGGACACCTAGCCACGTCTGTTGGGGGTAGACGTCCGAAGTCCACGGGATTCTTTTGCCGATGACGCAGAACATCTGGCCGACACTGATGCGGGCAGACGATCTCCGTCATCGGTGTTCGTCAAGGAATGCAGGTCGCGTATTCTAACGCGGTCTGCCTAGGATGTTCCATTAAGGACATGGGGAAGCAGGTTGGCGGCGGAGTCGTCGGTACGCCGGTAGCCGAATCACCGTCGTTGTTCCTCTTCAGGTAAGGCAGCACGTTCGGGGCGCGCGTAGTCGTGGTCACCGGTGAATCGGATGTTGTGTCCGATATCATCCGGGGGAGACGTCGGTTGGACTCCGGGTACAGGGTCTGTAGCTCTGGGTTCAACGGAGAATCCGGTACGACTTAGTCATTATGGTTATTGGCGCGGTCTGCGTCCTCCTAATGCTTCCCTTTCCGATCCGTTCCGGATGTCGTCCATTCCGATCTTTGTGATCGGCTAAGTTAAGTTCCAAGTGGCTACCGAGTTCACAACCGATCTTTGTGGTCGGTTGAAGTAGCGATCGTGGTTCGGCGATCTGCTTTGTCGCAATCCGTTCTCCGGAGTCTTTTCGCCGGAGTGGCTTGCCAGCGGAACGGGGAGTGTTCCTCACCGATCCGCTGACAGGCCGCTTTTCGTACGGTCCATTCCGGATCTCGTCGTATCGTGGTTGTATTCGCGGTCTGCGGAGGTTATGAAGTTATGGGTGAGGAGCAAGGTCGGCCTTTGTGGTCGACCGCAATTTCTATGGTCAGATTGATCTTCCTGCGCTGTTGGCAGCTCGGCCGAGGGATATCCGCTGTTTCCTATGGTGAAGGTTGCTGGTCGGCTTACCCGGTTCCTAGGTTGGCCACGGGTCTTCGGCAAACGTGACGGAGAACGCGCAGCGACGTGTTCTACGCCATTTTAGCGTAATCCTCTCGGTCTATGCTCCGGAGTCGATTGGCCGGAGTAATCTTCGTAGCCGATCGTAGTTGATGGCGCGATCTGTACCATGTAACTTCCAGCGGCTCCACGTAACGCGGACTGGGGCTTCAGTTAGCTCCGATGGTAGCATAACGTGGTTCGCGATGTGCTACCTTAAGCCGGGGCGTCTGTTGGCTTGCGGTCGTAGCAAATGTGGTTCGCGATCTGCCAGTGCCATGCTGGGGAACTGGGATCGGTTTGCCCAGTTCTTTCCAGGGGATTCCTCGGGGGACGTACCGGTACGGTGAAAGGACCGAAGTACCCTGGTCTAACCACTCGTTTCCGGGTCAGACCGAAGAATCCGGCGTAGTCATTGTTGACTTCCGCTGTTAACATGGTTAGTAGGTTTCTGTAAAAGAAAACTTAAGAGAGGTATCCATTCCATTCCGAGGTTGTTTCTCGACGATGCTGTTTCTCAGCTAGACTGTTTCTCAGTCAGGTCGGTTCTCGACTATGATCGGCCTTTGTGGTCGATGTTCAATCCCCTCAGATGTTCCGAGTGGGGGATCAGGTTCCAGTGTGGGAACCTGGTCTTATCCAAGTTCGACGTTGATCGGCGGATCACCGCCGAAGTAATCTTCTTCGTGGTCGTCATCGGGCGAGGTCGGTGGTGCGGACGTAACAACGACGGTTTACATGTCGCCGGGCCACTCCGTTGAGACGTGTCGTTCAGCTCTAGCCTTCTTCTCTTTGGCCGCTTGTTACCTAAGCTTCAGCGCAAAAGGTTGTGCGCCGGGTGCCAGGGCGTCCGACATCCATGATTCGTATGGATGCGAAGTAAATCCGCTGGGCAGGACTTTGTGTTCTCGGTACCAGCTGATGAACCTCGTTGCGTCGTCGCAGGGATCGATGTAGTCCTCGCTGAAACCATACTTTACCGCATACCGTTCATGGGTGTAGAGTAGGTCGCGTAACCAGACGGCTTGGATGCTGCTTCGCATCGGAGTACCAAGTTGGGCCACAATGGTTTGCAGGGCCTCAGGTATCTGCTGGTTTTGGCAGAGTCCGTACAGGGTGTAATGGCAAAGTAATTGCCAATCCTTGCTGCGAAGATGTATCGCAGGAATGCCGTCGTACCGTCGGGGGCAAGGTCAATCTCCCCTTCTGGGAGATATTGGACTAAGTCCAATGCTGCTCGTGCCGCTGTGATGACAAAGGCCGGGTGGGCGTCGGTAATGAAGAACTGGGCCATACTTTCCAGCTCGTCATGCGCGTATTCGCGGGCCCCGAGTTGACTTGCACGCGCGCAGTCCGGACTGTACAAAGGAACGTTCAATAAGGCCGGGTCGGTCATCGATGGCAAGGCGTTCGCTCTGGTATACGGGTGCTCCACGTTCTCGTTGGTGTGAGTTCCCATGTGGAAGTCCGGTTGCCATTGGTGTCGTTTGACCAACGTCTGGTATACGGATCGAATGAGGAATTGCCGTAGGTTTTCTACCATGCGCCAGACTTGTGGGCGATGTCGCTCCTCATATTCCATGGTAGTCATGATGTAATTCGTGCGTTCGTTCGGGTGTGGCATTACGACTTCTATTGCCTGTTGTCTGGCAAGGTCGTAGCGAGGGTCTTCTCGAGCTGGCACTTCGACTTCTGGTAGTTGTGCCATCTGATTGGCCACATCGATATCCATTTGCTCCGGTTGAGTTTCTGGTTGGACTTCGTCATTTACTTCGGCTGCCGGCTCCGCCATGTGGGCGTC